AGATATTAAAAGAATTTAATACTACTATTTCCAATTTTCCATCACTTCCACGCACCATCGGAGATCAGGATTTCCTATACCTCATCTCATCTTAACTTATATAAATCAAATAATTGATTTTGATTTTTTTTTTAATATTGGTGGTACAATGAGAAGGTAATTCTCTTTTATTTTTTATTTTATTTTATTTATATATTATATAATTTAAATTTAAATTTTTTATTTTTTTAAAAAAATATTACTATTAAATTATTTAAGTTATTGATTAATTTGCTCTTAATTTACTATTATATATTCACTCTTATTGGTACAGTAGATTTTATTAATTTATATTATTTTATAACATCTTTTGGAGGACGTTTCCCTTCCGACGGGCTAATTCAAATATCAAGCTTTTTTAAAAGGGTTAAAAATATATATTGAAAAGAATTTAATTGGATTAATATTTATTAAATTACAAATTTTAATTTAAAATAAAAGTTAAAAGATTCAAAATTTTATATTATTAAGTAGGAAAGCTTTAATGTATCAAAAGAAAAAAAAAAGAGTAAAAAAATATTCGGAAAAGTGTCATTAATTCTCCCTATTATATAATAGAGAACTAGGCCAATACTATAGTAGTAAGGACAAAGTTACGAAATTTTGAGATTTTAAGACGTGTAAATTTAGTTCAATTTTATAATACTTGTTTTGTGATCTCTAATGGAGTAATTAAACAGTTAAAAACTGTAAATTCTAAATCAAAAATTTTAAGTTCAAATCTTAAGTCGGTGGAAAAAAATTTAAAAATGAAAAATGATTATCTATTATTATATAACCTATAATCAAATGTGAAAAAAAAGGTACTTGTTTTGTGTAATTTTATAATTTTGTTAACAAGTAATTTGTTTGATAAATATACAATAATAAGGATGGGTTGATATGTATTAAGTATTAAAAATATATACTCATAGAAGACAAATAATAAATAATTAAAAATTTCATATAAAAATAGGAGGTACCAAAATCTTGTTGGATGAAATTTTGGTGGTCAAATTAGTTGTTTTTATTGTAGTCTTGATAAATTCAATCTACCTTTCTTAATACATAAATTTTCCATTTAATGTTATTGTTTGACGAAATTTTGGTGGTCAAATTAGTTGTTTTATTGTATTCTTGATAAATTCAATCTACTTTTCTTAACACATCAATTTTCCATTTAATGTTATTATTCGATGAAATTTTAGTGGTCAAATTAGTTGTTTTATTGTATTGTTGATAAATTCAATCTACTTTTCTTAATACATCAATTTTCCATTTAATGTTGTTGTTCGATGAAAGTTTGGTGGTCAAATTAGTTGTTTTATTGTATTATTGATAAATTCAACTTACTTTTCTTAATACACCAGTTTTCCATTTAGCTTTGATGTTACTACTACAGCTTATAATAAAATATACTATTGTGAGTTTGCTTTTAAGAAAATTAATTATTTTAATTTGTTCTTAAGGTATGTATTAAATAAATCTTTTTTATTATATAATAAAATGAATGAAATATATGATGTTAAAATTTGAAATCAATGACATGATAT